GGGTGTGACCCATAGATCCGGCTCTGCCCCATAGATCTGGGTGTGACCCATAGATCTGGGTGTGACCCATAGATCTGGCTCTGACCCATAGATCTGGGTCTGACCCATAGATCTGGGCGTGACCTATAGATCTGGGTGTGACCCATAGATCTGTCCTTGCCCCATAGATCTGGCTCTGCCCCATAGATCTGAATGTGACCCATAGATCCCTTCCTGTCCCATAGATCCGTCCTTGCCCCATAGATCTGGGTGTGACCCATAGATCTGGGTGTGACCCATAGATCACTTCTGACCCATAGATTGGGATCTGCCCCATAGATCCATCCCTGACCCACAGATCCGTCCTTGCCCCATAGATTGAGGTGTGACCCATAGATCCGGGTCTGTCCCATAGATCTGGGTGTGACCCATAGATCCCTTCCTGACCCATAGATCTGGGTCTGCCCCATAGATCAGTTCTGCCCCATAGATCCGGGTCTGCCCCATAGATCAGTTCTGCCCCATAGATCCGGGTCTGCCCCATAGATCAGTTCTGCCCCATAGATCCGGGTCTGCCCCATAGATTGGGATCTGCCCCATAGATCCGGGTGTGACCTATAGATTCAGGTGTGACCCATAAATCAGTTCTGCCCCATAGATCCGAGTCTGCCCCATAGATTGGGATCTGCCCCATAGATCCAGGTGTGACCTATAGATCTGGGTCTGCCCCATAGATCTGAGTGTGACCCATAGATCGGGGTGTGACCCATAGATCAGTTCTGCCCCATAGATCCGGGTCTGCCCCATAGATTGGGATCTGCCCCATAGATCCAGGTGTGACCTATAGATCTGGGTCTGCCCCATAGATCTGAGTGTGACCCACAGATTCGGGTGTGACCCATAGATCCGTCCCTGCCACATAAATCTGGGTCTGCCCCATAGAGCCGGGTGCGACCCATGGATCCAGATCTGCCCCATAGATCTGAGTGTGACCCATAGAGCTGGGTGCGACCCATGGATCCAGATCTGCCCCATAGATCTGTGACCCACAGATCACTTCTGACCCATAGGTTGGGATCTGCCCCACAGATTCGGGTGTGACCCATAGATTTGGGTGTGACCCATAGATTTAGGTGTGACCCATAGGTCAGTTCTGCCCCAGAGATCCATCCCTGCCCCACAGATCCGGTCCTGCCCCATAAATCTGGTTCTACCCCATGGATCGGGATCTGCCCCATAGATTCCACTCCCTGTGCCCCACAGATCCACTCCAGCCCCATGGATTGACCCACAGATCCCATTCTCAGCCCCCACAACCCCTCCTCTGCCCCATAGATCCCATTCCCGGCCCCATAGATCCATCCCAGCCCCACAGATCCTCCTCCGCCCTACAGATTCCACTTCCAGCCCCACAGATCCATTCCCAGCCCCACAGATCCATTCCCAGCCCCATGGATTGACCCACAGATCCCATTCCCAGCCCCACAGATTCCACTCCAGCCCCATAGATCCCATTCTCAGCCCCACAGATTCCATCCCAGCCCCACAGATTCCACTCCAGCCCCATAGATCCCGTTCTCAGCCCCACAGATTCCATCCCAGCCCCACAGATTCCACTCCAGCCCCATAGATCCCGTTCTCAGCCCCACAGATCTTTCTCTGCCCCATAGATTCCACTTCCAGCCCCACAGATTCCACTCCAGCCCCATAGATTCCATTCCCGACCCCACAGATCCCATCCCCCACCCCCCCCAAACCAAACCCCTCCC